AGGCGTCACAGGCCCACACACCTTCTCTGAGCTCCTCTAATGGCTGGGACAGGGTGCCGAGACCCTGGCAGGTCTAGCAGGCCCCTGAGCCCGAGGCAGCCCTTTGCCTTCTGCGGGCTAGCCCCTCTCAGGTTCAGGGCCCTCTCCTGCGTTCCCGTTGGCTCTGGGGTCAAGGTGTGTGCTGGCACAGGAGCGTCTCCCTTGCAGACCACTGTGGTGCAGGAAAGATAAATGCTTGTTGGTGCCACGCTAAACCGACCAAGTGACACCGTATTTCAACAGTATTTGTCGTAAAAAGAATCCCAGGGCTTTTAAGGATCAAAAAGCCAAGGAAAAGAGAAACGTGACATTTTAAAGTTTGTACTTACCGGTACTGATCAAGGATTTTGGTAACTAGCTCTGTTTCTGTAGTAGGAGTTTTAAACCATCATTTAAAATTTTTCTATGAACTTGAGAGACTGACAAATTATTTGTAATCAGTAAAGTCCTTATGCAGAAACTGATGAGCATAACAATAAAATTTAATCTTACCCTTGAAAAAATTTGGAACAATCGTCGTTTCATTCATTCAGTGGATATTTAGCATTTGTGACATACTGAATACTCTACTGGGGCTGCATAAGCATATACAATTTAATTCTTAAAATTGGTAAGACATTTTAATAAATTGGTTTAGCTCTAAATTCATGCTTAAGAATTCAAATAATTGGCAATAATCAGAATGCAGAAGCATTAAAAAAATCCCAAAATGTCTGAAACCCATCTATGCAGAATCCACCAGAAAGCTGAAAAACAAAAGCTAATTTTGTGGAACAGTACATTGGTAACTGTTTAATAAAGACCTCTGCTCCTTAAAGGAGTTTTTAGTGTCATTTTTAAATCATAATTGTATTGTAATTGATGATAACAGGCATAAAACAATAGTGTAATGATATAAGTGATTAAGTACTAAATTTTGTGGAACGAACCAAGTACTTGAGAATTGAGATAAAGGAGCCAGCCCAGAGAACAGCCGTTGGGAAAATGCTGAAGGTGGATTCCTGGGGACTAAGGGGACTTCCAGCCCAGGGAGCCCCTAGTGAGGCCAGGGACCCGCCCAGCTGCCTGCAGCAGCCTCAGGAAGTGTGCTGGGTGTGTAGTCTGGGGTGCAGCCGCCAGGCAGGGTCGATGGTGGAGCACAGGCCCTTGACCCTGATGCCTCCCAGGTTCCTCAGCTGTAGAATGTGGGGAGTGTTACTGCTGACTTGGAGGTGTGACTGAGATTAAATGAGATGATGAGTGTGATGTTCCGGGTGCACAGAAAATGTTCCATGGGTGGAAATCGGTGTTGCTATTAGGGAGGATGGAGGGGGTCACCCCACGGAGGGCAAACTGCTGGGCATGCCGTCATACACTGATGTGATGGGAATTAGGAAGCCAGTTGACCTGAAGTAGGATGTGATAGGGTTGAATGAATAATGGTAGCTGCCTTTTGAGTGCTCCTGTGTACTCTGTGCTTTATATCCAGTATCTGCTGGCCTCATCACCAGCCTCCAGGCGTCTGGGGAGCGGGGAGGCTTGTTTTATGAGGCTCAGGGAGAGGAAACAAGCACCTTGCACAAGGTCACCTTGCTACCCAGAGGGAAGGCGAGGCTCGAACCCGTGTCTGCCTGGTTCTGAAGTCTGGACTCTTGCCTAGCAGACTGCCCCTACCTGGGAAGCGCTCTGTCAGGCTGCTGACCCCGTGGGGAAGAGGAGTGGCGGGCTCAGGTAGTAATGACTGCTTCCAAACGGTGTGTGAGTTCAGAGTCCATGTGGGCACACCCCCANCTTTGAGAGTCAGCCTTCTCCATATACCTGGCCCAGAAGGAAGCAAGTGCCAAGCACTCCTCAGGGAAGTCCGTGCACCCCACCCCACCCTACCCTGCCAAAAAGGAGGAGGAAGAGGAACCAGGGCAGCAACCCATGGGTGGAAAAGGAGACAGACCTAGTGATTGGCTGTGAAGGAGAGGACAAGGTGAGTGGGAGATGATTGTGCTAGCACGGGGCTCCAGGAAGCCCAGGCACCAGTGGAGGAGTCCATGGGATTCTCAGAAGGGTGTCTGCTGGGCACACACCTAGCAGTCACTCAGGCTTCACAGAAATCCTTGCCTAGTGTAGGTGACATGCTACTTGTCCTAGTGCGATCATGCCGTTGGGGTTTGGAGAGGCAGGGGTGACCTGAAGTACGAGAATTCTCAGTGTCCCTGGGCCCAAGCCTCCCTCTGTGCGGTCCAGGACAGCGCTGCTCCGCCTGTGCTGAGGCATCTGTGTTTAAAATTCCAGTCTAGCTGGACTGATACTTTGTAACATAAAAAAAGAATGACTAGGAACAGAAACTGAAAAAGACATGCAGAATGCAAACTCTAATTTTTTATTATTAGATCCAACAGATACAAAATTACTCTGTCAAACTGCCATAAGTTTCCAAAGCTTATTCTCAATTTCTGAATTGGATTTTGACTGCAGACAACTCAACTCCTCATGGGCTGGGACACATCGCGAGCAGTGATCTAGGAAGAAGGTTTGTTAAGCAAATTAGTAAACAGGGTGGTTTTGGGATATCTACATCATTTCAGAGTAAAAATAATCTCGTAGTTGGCCCTTAAAATCCTTCAGGTGTTCGTTTACGTGTGACAGAATTATAGATGACATCTTCTCAGTGATGTTCCGTGTTAGGGGGCAGGGATGTAAGGTAAATAGGCGAGAACCGAGGCTGACGTAGTTATTGTACGGGTCATCCGTTCAGACCAGTAGCAGTCCATGGAAAGAGGTGCTTCTATTTCCTCTGTTGTTTCTACGAACCATTGTATTCCTTTGCTCATTTAACTTAAATTAGTATGTTTTCTGTGTTAATTTTTGGTTTGCCTTTGAGTTGATTTTTGTATTTGGTGCATAATTTTAGGTGTATTCTTTTAGGGGTAAGTTCCCTGAGCAAACTTAAAAAAAAAAAAACTCTCAAGAGTTATATGTGCTGATATAGTGATCACGTAATAATTTAATTTGTTTATACGTCACATTTGACTTTTGTCTCTAGCTGCCAGTGTACGTACTTTATATTTGGAGCTGTTCTGCTGCTGCCTTCCTTGCTCTGAGGTGATGTGCTCTGTCCCCTTAGCCTGGAATTCTTTTTCCCCGCCTTTGGGCCCAGCCAGGAGCCTTCCTTCAGGTGGCTCCTTCGGCTCCTTTTCTCCCTCTACCTCTGCTGAGCTCGCTGCCTCCCAGCACAGCTCCTCGCGTACCCTCTGGCCCTTTTGTCCTTGCTCCAAGTCAGGCCTTCCTTTTGTGCCATGCTCTGTGTCACACCTGTCACGGCTCTTCTGCATGCGTTCTCTCATCCTGCAGACCATCCCTCATCTCCCCTTCACCTGCAGTGAGGCTGGGCATCCACTCTCGTTCCTTAGCCCCGAGCTCCCATAGTGACTTGGGCCACTCAGGTCCAGACCCCCAAATGCTCAGGTTTTGAGTTTGCTCACAGATGCCTGTAATTTTGGGGTCTTCTTTTCTGCTCAGTGTGTTTGTTATCTGAAGAGTTAGATATTAGAATCCTCAGTACAATGTCACAGGCCTGAAGAAATCCTCAGCACCTGTGCAGGGTGTGGTCAGTACAGAACGCGAGCTGTGAGCCCCAGAACGCACACAGGCCGAAGCCACGTTTGAAGGACGTGTTCAGCAGCATTCGTTGTCTCCACCGGTGATGCTGCAGTGGGACGGGGAGGGGGTGGGATTTCTTTATGTGAACAATAACAGCCACGCGGTGTACTGGATCACACAGAACATTTCTCACGAAGAAACGACTCCTGCTTTAAAAGAAGGGAGGCACATTGAAAAATCTCGTTTAGCCCAATTCAGAGTCATTTGCTTTTGACTTTGGGGTGGGTGGGTGTGTGAGTGTATGTTTTCTTCCTGTCCCCTTTGTGAACAAACAGACCTGGGTTCCAAATCCAGCCTTCCACGTACTAGGTAGGTATGGTGGGTGACCTTGGTTGAGTCCTTCAACTTCCCTGAACTTGTTTTCTCATCTGTAAAATGGGGACATCCTGTCTGCTTTGAAGGATCATTGTAAAGATGAAAGACGATGCGTGTACCGCACTCCACTTGAGACCCTGAGGGTGCACGTTACCTGAAAGGGAATGCGAAAGGGGGTGGGGCCAGTAAGGGAGCACCGCTTACAGCAGGCTGCACTGGTTCCCAAACCCGATGGGCCGGCAGAATCACCCGGAAGGCTTCTTATTATCCAGCCTGTGTGCAGGGCCCAGCCCCATCCCTCCTGGTTCCATTGCCTGGGGTGGGGCTTGAGAATTTGCATTTCTGAGTTTCCAGGTGATGCTGCTGCCCACTGCTGGTCTGGGGACCACACTTTGAGAACCTCTGGGCTGCAGGTAACACCTGTGAGCATGGAGGTGGTAGGTGTGTTTGAAAGCTGACTTGTGTGTGGTTAGAGGTACTCAGTTAGAAAATGCTTGGATGCATTTTGCAAATACCGAATTTAGTATCCCAAGGATTTTTCCTCCTGAAGTCCAGGAGTCCTTGTTAAATATATTTGAAGCAGAACAAGTTGTGAAAATAACAGTTATAAACATATTATGGATAGTCTGACAATATCAAATTGGCTAAGATATGTGAAAGTGCTTTCATAAAATGCTAAAGCTGAAAAAGTATGTTAAATACCTTTGGTTTGAAGATTGAACATCATAGTGGAGAGTATAAAATAGTGTAACTTCGATTTCTCGTCTCAATGTGCTGTTCACCTTATGTATTTTTCTCTTTCTCCTCCAGGCTGCTGACTTGAGTAAACCAATAGATAAAAGGATATACAAAGGAACACAGCCTACTTGTCATGACTTCAACCACCTAACAGCCACAGCAGAAAGTGTCTCTCTCCTAGTGGGCTTTTCCGCAGGCCAAGTCCAGCTAATAGACCCAATCAAAAAAGAAACTAGCAAACTATTTAATGAGGAAGTAAGTAGACCCTGTCTTAGCTGTTAAGACTCCCTTTAAGAACTGATATGTCCTTACCAAGAGTAGTGGGCCTTGTTCACACTTCGAGCTAAGCCCACTTCTCATTCTCTCAGTATTACCCAAGTTTAAAAGTGGTGAGTTAACCTGTTGACGTTTACCTGTTCTTTGGGGCAACTGTTTTGTGTGTTTTTTATGGAGCGTGCTCAGGTATTTATAGCAGGTGCTTTAAAACTCTTTTAGAATGGAGAGAGGGGTGAGGCTGTAACTTGACATTTATAATTTAAATAAGAAAATACAGAATTCCAGACTTGGTTCACATTACCAGAAAATTTCATGCAGATCAAAGAACTTGATGACATTTCCTTAGGCTGTTTAAATTATAGTTAAAACTTTTGGGTATATTTGACAGGCATTTGGCTAAGGAGTAATTCTCTTGCTCTTGAAAATATTTGCTGTAAAATCACCTTTGACATAGTTAGAAATCCTGGCACTTCAGATTGGATCATGTGACCTAGAGTGTGCCAGCGTTGTAGCATGTGCTGGGGTTTCTAGTATCTTCAGTTTCATTCTGGAAGGAGCCCGAGATCCTGAGCCATCTATCCAGGAACATGTCCGGACTATTAATCGTGGCAGGTAGAAGTTGCCAAGTACAATAGATTGTATTTGTTAAAGCAACAAGTGGCTTTGCAGCCCCGAGAATTGCCATTACAGAGTTGATGTCTCCTTTCTCTGTTTCCGTAGGACTTTGCTAGCCAGTGGGAAAGATGACGTAGGCTTGCCGAGTTAGAAGCCCTGAGTCCACGCTCTATTTGTGACTTCAGCCGGGATGTGACAAGGGTCAGGTCATGTGGGATCCCTCTCGGGAAGGACAAGTGGTTCTGCACTTGCATAATTTGGACGTCATTAACTTGGAACAGAAGCACACTATAGATTCTGACTTTTAAATAATTTGGGAAAGAATATTCATGACAAATTGCAGTTAAAATTCTGATTCTTTTGCAGTCTTTATGGTTTGTGCTGTCCATGTACGTCCAGTCCCCACCCACCCGCGGTGCTCCTGTCTGACGTGGCCAGTGGACTTGGCGAAATCTTTTGAACCATGCCATCTCCTGTCTAGTTTCATCTGGGTTGACTGGAAACAGAACTTGCCATCTGGATTGATAAACTATAGAGGAAAAGTATTTCATCCCATTTTTCATTAAAAAAGTCTTAAGCAGAAAATTATTCTGTTCACCTAGATATTTTATTATCGTCTGAAACAATGATCTAAGTTAGCTGGATGATTTTTTTGGGAGGGAGTGGGGCTGAGCGGAGCCACAAAACCAGCCTTCTTTGCACTATTAATAGAAATTGTGAATTTGGCCTCATGGTGGGGTTTTGTTGGTGTTGAGGTAGGGGCGTGTTACCGTGGGGGAAGGGATTGGAACCATGTGAAGGGCTGTTGGTAAACAAGATGAGGAGGCTGCCCTGGCTGAGGATGGCACAGAATGCCACTTAGAAAACAAGGAGGGTTTGTGTGTCATCGCTGGGGGATGGCAGGGACTGGAGACCACAGGTCCCTGGAGTCCCAGGGCCCTGAGAACACTCAGCATGTCAGCCAGACCCATCCCTGCCCCTGCACAAATGGCTGATGCAGGCTGGAACTGAAGCATGAGTGACCGCATACTTTTTTTACACTTTATTTGAAAAGTGGCTGTTCAAAATGCTAGGACTTGGGGCGTACGATGTAATGCCAACTTGGCATTTACAGCTCGAGGCTGAAATTGATTGCCCTTCACAGTAAGGAATTCTTTGGCTGTGTGGATGACATTTTCATCGGATTTTGGTCAGGATGTGTAAGCGCAAGGGCCGTTCGAGATTTGTTCTCAGAGAGTGCCGGGCATTGGGGCTGACGCAGTTGTCATGCCATGCTTTGCATTGGTACAAGAGTTAGAGGCTTCAGAGCGTTTTATATCTTCCCTCTGCCCGGGACGGTGTGCGACTGTTGCCATTTTGCCCCTGAGGACATTGTCAGAGAGAAGGTAAGTGAATTAATTGTCCAGATCAGATGCAAATTGATGATGGAGTTGGAACTAGGAATAAATTCTACAAGCTCGTACTGGTCACAGACTGTAAGCCCTACTGTGTGTGGTTGCAAGAGGGGTGGGCCCTTGTCTTCCCAGGAGCTCACAGTTCAGTAAGATGGACACACAGAGTACGGGGCACGTGTTATTACAACGCTATGAGCAGAGTACCAAGGGGGATGTGTTCAGTGGCTTCCTCAGTGGGTAGCAAATGGCATAACATTAAAGCAGAAGTTAAGCTCGGTGGAGGACATCCGAGAAAGCTCCCAGAAGGTGGCGTCTGATACCTGGATCTTGATGGATGAGTAGGAGTTGGAGGAGGGTGAGAAAGGCCTTCAGAGCTGGAGAACACAGCTTGGCGTGTGGAGAAATAGAATAGCTCGGAACCAGGTGTGGCCAAACTAGCGTGTGGGCCTCAGGCCGCAAGAGCCAGAGCTGGACAGATCACCTGGAAGCAGATCGTAAGAGCCCTTGCATGACGTGCTGACCAACTCAGACCTGACACTGGAGGCTGTGGGGGAAGCTCTGGGCTTTTACTCAAGGGAGTGACAGGATCAAATGTGTTTTTTTAGAACTCTTGTCAGCACTTGTGGAAGGTGGATTGGAATGAAGAAAGAGAGAATGAAGGTAGCAAGACCAGTGAGGAGGCTCTAGTAACTGTCCAGGTGAGAGCTGAGGGCTTGACTTAGAGCTGTGGCCATTTTCCCATCCATTCGACAGACCCTGATTATCTACCACGTGCCTGGGACTGGGTCTGCAGTGGCAGGTCTAATAACCCCACCCTGCTGTCACCCCTTCAGAGAGGGGAGAAGGGCGTCAACAGTAGCACCACACACACTCACACCTTTGGCAAATGGTGACTTGTGACGTAAGAGGAGACAGTGGGCCTGAGAGAGAGAAACACAGGGCCTACTTTAAATGGGGTGGCGGAGAGCATCTCTCGGAGGAAGCAGTGTGCTTTGGGCTGAGCCTCGCAGGAAAGGGAGGCCATCCAGGTAAGGAACTGGAGGTAGAGCACCCCTGCAGAAAGGAGAGCAGGGGGAGGCCCAGGGCTGGGAGAACGGGGCCCACAAGAACTGAAAGGATGGGGCACCTGAGAGGGAGGGTGCTAAGTGGGCGCAGGGCCGTGGAGGGCCGTGCCAGGCAGGTCGGGCCCAGCTGTGTGTCTTCCCCTGAGTTGTGGGGTGCCTTAGAAAGGAGCGGGAACATGAGGCGGTCAGGTGGGCATTGTTTTAAATTACCCTGGCTGCTTCATGGAGAGGGAATTGGAGAGAGGCAGGAGCGAATCTTGGGTTTCTGGCTGTCACCTGCTCCATTGGGTAAAACGGGGGAAGGAGCAGGTGTTGGGGGTGGAGGGAAAGGTCCAAGTTCCATTCTGAACTTGTTCAACTTGACAGGCCTGTAGATGGTTGGTTATATGGCCCTGGAGCCCCAAACTAAAGGTGAAAGTTTGGGAGTTGTCTACATGTAAACAGTGGCCACATCCCTGAGATGAGAAGAAAGATCTGTGGAGACAGTACAGTAAGAGTGAGAAGCGTGCTGAGGACCGAGCCCTGATTGTTCCCGAGGTTCTGGCCGTCTCCTCATACTGTCTCCAGAGGGACTCTTTTTTTTTTTTAAGCTGAGCCCTCCTGCCACCTGTTGGCAGCTCAGCGGCAGCTCAGCTCAGGCCAGGCATCGAACCTCTGTTGCTCAGAGCTCAGACTCTTGAGCAAGTTCTTAACCAGCTGAGCCACTCGGCCGGCCCTCCAGAGGGACTTTTTCTTTTTTTTGGGTTTTTTTTTTTTTTAAGATTTTTATTGGGGGAATTGGGATGGGAACAGCGCTGGGGAATTGGGGGAAGGGGAACAGACAAGTTGCTGTCCTTTTGTTCTTCAGTCTAGTTGTGGAGGACATTGCTTCACTGGCCCAAGTTGGCACCATCATTGCACTCTTCCCAGGCGAGGCAGATCAGTCGCCAGCTTCTGGACGGCTGCTCACTGCGGCTGCTGGCCACTCACGCTGGCTGCTGGCTACACACGGTAGCCCATGGCAACCCACTGCAGCAGGGGACTGAAGCCTACGCCTTCGCCGGCGACTCACGGCAGCCCAGCTCCAGGTTGAGCTGTTGTTCAGCATCTTAGCTGTAGAGGGCAGTGTCACTGGCCCTCATGTGGGATCCGAACCGGGGCCCTCTGGCATCCCAAGCCAATTCTTAACCATTGTGCCACTCGGCCGGCCCCAGAGGGACTTTTTAAGCAGTCAGCTTATGGCCATGAACTTGCAGACTCAGCCCAGTGGCCTGGAGGCCGAATGCCCAGGGCTCCGACTCGAGCTCTGCCCCTGACTGACTGCCGATGTGGGTGTGTTCCCTCACCTCCTCTCCCCAGCCGGCAGATGGTAAGGACAGTCAGTAGCTGCCTGAGCACGGGAAGGATGGGATGCTAGCAAAGGGCCTGTGGTGCGCCCTGGTCTGCGCTCCGTCTGTCCCAGGTGGAGGGAAACCCGGGGCGTTCCTCCCACCAGGAGCTGGATGGAACAGCTTCTTGGGAGGTGAGGCACCGACAGGTCTGGAGGAGAAGTGAGTTTCCAGGATGTGAAGGGAAGGGCAGGGCGCCCCAGGTGGAGTCCGCGCGTGCGAGGCTGAGGGCGGGGGCTGGTTAGCACGACGGCCGTGTCTCAGCAGAGCGCTTCTCTCTGCCACCGTTACACACGCGTGGGGCACAAACACCCATTGCTGAGTATGCCGACCTTGGCTTCCTTTCCAGAGGTGGCCTGGTACATGTTTGGATGGCATGGAATTGTAAGTTCCAGAAGTCCACCTGAGATTAAAGATAGATGAAAACTTCTATGTGGGAATCAAGTGTATCTTAAAAGGTGATTTTTCCCATGAATTAAAAAATAAATTTAAAAAGCTTTATAGAAACAGTGGGGCATAGAGACATACAAAGAAGAGGGAGAAGATCACCGATGACTTCCAGGGCTCACGGTTCGTTTCCTTTTTTTGGGAGACTAAGATTCCCACCTTCCTTCCACTAGAGATGCCAGCAGCCTTCACCTCCCAGTCTGCCCCTCATCTGCTCAGTTCAGTTCACAGAGGCCAGCGAGCTGCTCCTGGGCCCCAGGGCCCCTGGCCGTCCCGGTCACACTGGAGACCCTGGCTGCTGTGCCTGTGCCAGCCCAGGAGGAAGGAAAGTCCCTGGTCCTTTCTGGCTTCATTTGGGGAATGAAAGCCCCAGGGTCTCTGCTTTCTCCAGCATCCGAGAGTTGATTGTAGGGTTGTTTGTAGTGCTCTGTTCTATATATATTGTGCCTTTGAAAGTGTCTCCCAGGCCTCTGCTGAGAGTGCTTTGGCACATCCAGTAAGCTCCCAGACCACGGGGCCTGCCTTCATAGTAAAAGCCACCTGGGACGGAGAGTTGCCCCAGCAGCATTCAGCCTTTGGGGGGTGAGTATCCCAAAGGGAGGAGGGGTTCACTTCTTATTCCGAGTGGTTATGACGTATTGTGGAGGAGAAAGTATACAGGGACAGTTTCTATACGATGACGAACTCAGCCTTAAACTCAGTCGTTTTAAAACTTCTGATTATTTCCAGGTTGCAGCCATTGAATAGTAACGTCAGAGGGTTTTCAAGTATATTTTGATTGTTGGGTAAGATGTAAAATTGAAAAAGAACTTGTCATCTTGGCTTCTCTCATTACTAACGTGTAGTGAGACCCTCTGTTCCTGACGTCCTGCTTCTCGTAGGTTGGGAGGCCAGGCCCAGCACGTTGGGTGGGCTCTGGTCTCCTTATGGCTGTGAGAGCGAGTCTGAGTGAAGGGCATGGGAGAAGGTCCTGACCCTGACGGGCTACTGGCCCAAGGCTGTGAATTCTCTAATCCCACCAGCTGCAGATGCCTCCTGGCCAGTGCCTTGGGAGTGGGGGAGGGGAGTGAGACCCAGTTTTGCAGTATTGTCCAGCTCTGTAACAAAAGAGTGGGTCTGTACATTTGGTTAGTTCTGTCTCTGTTGTTGCTTTTTTTAATGAAGGAAGGAAGATGAACACATGGTGATCTACTCCGTACAGCTTTGACACATTTGATAAAAATGGCATCTGATCCTCGCTTACAGGGCCTGGACGTACCCTTCCCAGTACTTCCTGAGGGGAGCCGCTTGCCTTAGTGAGTTCCACAACCAAAGCCCTTACTGCCATTTTGACCTGTGGCTCCACTGTGGCTTTCCCACCACCTGCCGTGGTTTTTGAATTGTTTGTTGTAGTATTTTGTTATAAGTTAATACCTGCATTTTACTTATTTATTTATGTATTTTTTTTATTTTTTTTTTAAGATTTTTGTTGGGGAATTGGGGTAGTGGAACAGTGCTGGGGAATTGGGGGAAGGGGAACAGACAAGTTGCTGTCATTTTTGTTCTTCAGTCTAGTTGTCGAGGACGTTGCTTCACTGGCCCAAGTTGGCACCATCATTGCGGCTCTTCCCAGGTGAGGCAGATCAGTCGCCGGCTTCTGGACGGCTGCTCACGGCGGCTGCTGGCTGCTCACGCTGGCTGCTGGCTACACACGGTAGCCCATGGCAACCCACTGCCACAGGGGCTGCAGCCTACTCCGTCACAGGCGACTCATGGCAGCCCAGCTCCAGGTTGAGCTGTTGTTCAGCATCTTAGCTGTGGAGGGCAGTGTCACTGGCCCTCATATGTGGGATCCGAACCGGGGCCCTCTGGTGTCCCAAGCCAGCTCTTAACCAACGCGCCACTCGGCAGGCCCAGTACCTGCATTTTAAAATCCATACCCAGTCCCCCAAAATACCCTTTCGCTGCTTGTCATGTTGATCGTAGTGAAAGAAAATACAAAGAAAACAAAAGTGCTTTGGAGAGCTTCCTTTTAGCAGTGTGCTTTAATGTGGATGCAAATCGATTTGTATTCTTGCTGCTTTTCAACTAGTTGAGTATCTTTAGGAAACCTTGTCTAGTAATGCTGTTGTAATGGTAGTTTGGGTATGTGTTTGATTTTCACTGGATCATTATCGGAAATGGGGCCGTTTCTTTGGCATTCAGAATGGGGTCCGTGGGGGAGGCGTGGGTGTGGGTGCCCACTCCAGGCTAGGTGTCTTGACATAAAAATGGCACGCTGATGTCCAGATTTTGGTTTTGATTTTTTTATGAAAGTGATTATTTAAAAAGGCCATGGATCATCTTGGAATTTGACTCTAATCTTTAATGGAAAGCCCAGTGGCTGTGCCAGGTGACCTCACAGGGACTGTTCTTTGCTGCCTAGTCTCCCTGCTGCTCCCCCCGCCCCTGCCCTGCCCTGCCCTGCCCCTTGCTCCATGGGTTTGTGGAGTGGGGTGCAGGCCCTCAGCTCCTTCCCACCAGAGCTTCCTCACCTCTGCCTGTCAGCGCTTCCTTGGCTTCTCCCCTCCAGCTGGGAGCAGGGGCTTGCTTCTCTTTGATCCTTCCCGCACTCTCTTCCTGATCCCCACACTTGCTTCCCTGGGCTGCCTAAGGAAGCCTCTGCCTGCCAGAAGCGCTTCCTGTCCGAGCCTCACTTCCTGGTCTGGATAACAGCAGACCTCAAAGACCCTGTCACCTGACAGGGAAATTCTGATGCCCAGAGCAGAGCGCCTGGCCTATCGTGGACACTCAGCATTGGCTCCTTCCTCTCCTCATGGGACTTCTGAGTCGCTCTCTCTG